AATATAGGAATTGTTGTTTTTGTTACCTTAGAATGAGCGGTTTTTATCTACAGAGGGAGCAGGTCCTCTTCTACGGAGGCCGCCATGTTGATATGACAGATAAGGACTAACGTTTTTTGTGAGTTTTGTGGCCACCGTAGTTTTTCCTACTCATTTGTAAAAGTAGCGGAACGTGAGGTTTATTCAGTTTGTTGCAATCTGCAGTATGGAGCTGCAGTTAGGAGCTGATTAACCTAGCTTAGCATAAACTATCTGTTTGTGTTGATTGTGAGCTTTAGAGGTGGTGTTACTAGCTTTGGACATAGTGAGAGTGCTACTGATCTCCTCATCTAAATTGAATAGGCGTATTTCCCGAATTTGTCAAACTTTTCCTTCAAAATAATAGCTGGGTCATGAGAACAGGATGCAGTCTCTACTTTAGTTCATGTTATTTCTTTTTGAGCATTTCTGTGTATCATTGTTTTATGACTCTTCTATGCTTAGCTTGTTCAGCAATTTCTGTATCTATTTTCTCACCACCTTTCTTGTCTGAAAACAAATGTAAACAACCAGTATCTCTTTTTATGAAAAAGAACTTTATTAATATTTTAGAAATGGTACAATATGATACATTACAGTAAACAACATGGGACAAACAACATGTAGTGTAGGTAGGAACTGTGCAAATGAATAGGACTCTGTTGTATGTATGTGTGTGTGTACTGCATCTATACCTGATTGAACCCTGTACTGGATTGTGAGTTTCTCTTTGTTTACATCCTTTTATCTACACCAGCTGATTTGATACTAGCGCGCATACGAAGCTAAGCCACACAGGCAGCAAATGTCTGGCTTAATGTCAAGTTTAAATTCTATTATGCTTAAAATGATTACAAGTATTTAAATAAACTGTGCACTTTTCTCTCGTATTTTAAAAGCAATGTAGGTTTGCATATTGCAGTCATTTATGAATGATTAAATGCAGTGTTTTGCTAGTGTAGATATCAGGACTTAACTGTGTTTGTTTCTGTGTTTTTTTTACAGTTTTGACCTATTAAAAGGTCATGAGGTCAGTCAACCTCCTGTTGCAGGTAGCAGTCGTCAGTTTCAACACCCTATAAAGTTGCATCAACCACTTTTCCCCTGCGGGGTCAAACATGGGATTTAACAGGGCAACCAGACCACAGGATGCAGGAGTTATTGGTTTATTTAAATATAACCCAAAAGATGCACAAATAATCACAGAAATATTGGCTGAGCACATTGAAATCAATAATAATTAAGTCTTGGCTGTCCCTGTTTGGCCCTGCAGTGGAAAGTGGCTCTGGAGGGGGCTTTGTGCACCTGGATGCAGCGTGCACTCTTTATGTGAATCTAACTGACACCACCGTCCACTCCATTTCGTGGATGGGCAGGGCTTATTTGGCAGTGATGACCACAGGCATGTCAGTGGCGGTGTCAGGTCCCGCCCCCTCCTCCTCTGAGTCACTCTCAGTGCTGTCGCTCTCGTCTGAATCGCTGTCAGCGGCCCCGGGCGTGGCCGTGGCTGTGGCCTCCTCGCTGCTCTGGCTCTCCTCGTCCTCTGACTCCTGGCTGGTGCTGGCACTGTCGCTCTCGCTTGCGGTGCTGGCGCTCTCCTCCTCCTCTTCCTCTGGGGTGCTGGAGCTCTCGCTTTCACTGGTGGTGGCATCGCTGGCACTAGCGCTCTCCTCCTCCTCTGGGAGGGAGGCCTGGCGGGGGCTGAGGTCCTGGGAGGTGCCGGAGGAGGCATCCAAGCCCTGGCTCTCCACCTCAGGGGTGCTGGTGTCCTCCTCCAAGAGATCAGAGTGGACCTGAAGAGCCTGGAGGTGAGGCAGAGGATGGCAGGAAGGGTTAGTTTGTTTTGTTTGTCTATAAGTTCACAAAACATAAAAAAGTGCACTAATAGAGAGAGTTCTTTGTCTTTTAGTCTGCAGTCTTTTTAAATCTTGGTATATTTAGGTTTTTGTCAAATGTAGAATGGAGGTATCTGTCACAGTTAAAGTAAAAGTGCTGAAATGACTTTAATCCAATAAAGTCAACTGAAATGCAGGTACTGAAAGGAGATGAAGTGAAAGTCCTGCATGAGTTACTGTCAATTCAAGTGAAAATCCTCTCTGGAGTGTAAGGTAGGAGTGAAAGTTGACGTTTTGGCTTAAGTACAAGCACTGAAAGCAGTTGAAGTGTCACATAAAGTGCAGTTTGACAGTGGTAGTTGCTTGCAGTAGCACATTCTACAGCAGCCAAACACGATTTCATGTGGACTCTACTGACGGCCTAACATTCGCCGGAAGATAAAACTGACCTGTACCTTGTACACCTGAAGCGACTTCTCCACCTCGTTGCCGTCTGTCATGTCGTAGGCCATCTTCTTTCCAGCGCCCACAAACTCGTAGGACTTGTAGGGAGCGGGGACCTTGTGGTAGGATTTGTCCTCCACGTAGACAATGGACTTATAGTCACTGGGGTAGCCTCCCAAGCTGTCACCACGGCCTGCATCCGTGTCGGTGACGATGGTAGGTAGGATGGGCTCAGGGGTAGTTTCAGCCACGGGTCCCTCTGTGACGATCACAGGGGTGACGGTGGCAGTAGCAGGGGTGGAGGCCTCGCCTGACTCTGAGCTGTCGCTAGACTCGTCCTCCTCGGTTTCCTGGAGCCACAAGGGTGGAAGGGAGTGAATAGAGTTGCATTGTATCTAATTTGATTGATCTGTAATAATTATTAGCTGTTCTGGTCCTTTTTTCCTTAATTGAAGCTTTGTTTCTGTTTTAGCCAGCTAACATGACAACTGACCCAGTGCTGTATATGTAGCCAGATGTGTTGTGGGTGCTTTTTATACTCACACTCTCCTCTGCTTCATCGTCATCATCGTCATCGCTGTCTCCACTGTCCTTGCTGACAGAGGCTGTATCTGAGGACGAAGCTGTGTCTGCGCTGTCAGATGTGACTTCTACTGGAGCCTCTGCTGCCGCCTGTTGCAAAAACAATTAAAGCATTAAAGTCATAAACTTCAGCAGGATTGTAGTCTGCAGACAAAAGACAAAAGAATAATAATAATTGAGACTGATCTCTCACCTCGTCTTCATCTGAACTCTCTTTGCTCTCGTCTGATCCGGCAGCAGCTGCAGCCACAACGTTCTGCAACATCAGAGAGACACAATGAATTAGATTAATCCTCTATTTACCCTTTACTGTCTTCATTCATGTCTCACACAAAAGGCCAGTCAAAGGAAACTAATTAGTGCAGGCTCTTTCTCCTTCGTAGCATCACTGGATGTTAGTGTCTCTCCAAAGACAGCTCTTTGGTCCCTGACATGTTAAGCTCCAAAGGATGCTAATGAATTAAGGTGATCAGGGAGTCCACATGGTGGTGGTATACACAGGGAATGCATGTCTTTTATTTGGACCACTAGGGCCACGTTATACCTATACTTACTGTCAATGTGTTTGAAACAGGGCTGGATTTGAAGCCACTGCCGCACATTCCAAATTCATATTCAAAAAAGATTTGGCAAATTTGATTGGTGGTTCAAACAACTTTTGGGGGCGCTCGGGGGCAAACAGAAGAGGAGAATAGGTTGATGAAGTGAAGGAATATTTTACCTGTACAGGTGCTGCACGGGCCTGAGGAACCACTGGCGTCTCTTTCCTGACGGCTGGAGCTGCTGGTCGTCTCGCCTGTGGACAAGACCAACATTAGTCAGTGTAGAGGTCTCTCTATCTCTCTTTCTTTCTCTCTCTCCCTCTCTCTCTCTCTTTATCTATCTATCTCTCTCTCTCTCTCCAGATACTCACCACTTCCTCAGAGCTCTCTGAACTGCTGTTTGAAAGTTTTCTTGCCTGAAAAGCAAGCAAAGACATACACAAAGTGAATCAAATGTAAGAAAATCCACCGAAACTGATGTCGAAATTGTTTGAAACTGATGTAAAAAATGTAATGTGATCCAAGGACAAAGCTGCTGCTCTGTGCTCATCAAAAGCTATATAGAAGTTCTGACTTGACAGGGAAAAGGACTCACCGGCCGGCAGAGAACTGTGGCGAAGAGCAAAACGAAAACAACGGCCACTTTCATTGTGTCACGGTTTGGTGTCTGGATGGGGAGAAAACCAGAAAACACGCAGGTTGAAGTCGCACAATAAAACATCATCTTATAACACAATAAAACAATAAAACATAATCATGATACAAACACCTCGTACAACACCAAAATACTCGCCCGGAGGCAATAACTTCACAGGAAACACAATGACATGTCAAACTAAAATTGAGCTGCGAGCCTTGTCTGTAAATCCCCTCGCCCAGATTCCTTCCTAAAAATGGAGGTTGCATGGTCACATGACTGTTAACTAGCAGTGGCACTTCCTGAGGCCTTGGTATATCACAGGAAGTCCTTAATTAGAGACCTGAACGAGTGGTTATGTGTCCCTGACAACTCTGTTTCAGTACAGTAAAACATTTTCTCTGTCATCAGAGCGAGAAAATCACATCATTTTGGTTTGTGGTTTTCTTTAACTATGAGACAGGAGGTTTCTGGCTGATCCTGGGCCGAAAGGTGTGAGACAATAACAGGTATTATTTCAAAAGGGACTAATTTAGCCTGTGGGTGTTTGGCTTAAAATATTTAAGGGACATTTACCCCCTGGGGTCGCTGAATCCGCGAAACATTGTCTATTGTCTCGCCAATAATACAGCGTAGAAATATGGCTTAGCCTGAATCTGTAGTCTCTCAGCTTCCAAGTCTGTATGACATTCACACAGTAAACTAGGAGAAGAGGGTGTTGTTATTAGAAAATGTCATTTTAAAGATTTATTGTACATTTATATACTATTTTATTCGTATATTCCACTATTTTTGCGAACCTAAGAGATAAACCTATTTCAAGCACCAAAACAGTTGGTAAACAAGGTTTGTTTTCACAAGAGATCTGAAGAATTTCAAATATCGGACTCAAATAACTTCTTTTTGCACATTTTGATATAAAATACATGGGTATATCATGCTATACAAGTCCCTTTAAAAGTTAATTTAAGAAGATATGTAAAAAATTGGGGTTAAAATTAACTGTTGTCCTGCAAGCAGATACCCTGGAACCAAGAACTCTACATGAAATCAATACCTTGCTTTTTAATTTTTCTACAAATGAGAGTCAGTATGTTGAAGAATAAGCCAAAATGCTAAACTAGGATAAAGAAAATAACACTTAAAGATAAGGTTGGTGTTCTTCTATATGTTTCATATTGTCAACAGATCCCATTAAAAGGCCAAAAACTGTCTATTGTTCTCAGTCCATTGGATCCTACTGAAAATGTAGGCCTAAATCTTTAAAAACAGCTCACAAATATATACTTTAATTTAAAAAAAAGACTATTTAATCTCCTAAAACAGCTGGACATTGTAGTTTTTAACAAACCATATTCAAACAGGTGGAAATAGTATATTTGTTAGGGACTATTTTCAGCAAAGGACTAATACACATTCCCTTCTCTAGTGAGGATTTACAGCAGCAGGACAG